TCTGCGCTCAAATCTTTTCCTATTACTTTTTCCTTGTAGACTAATTATGTAATGCCTAAAATGGGTTCATTTTTCACCATTTTGACGGGTGGCTTCATTTCCGCAGTTGAGAAGTAACAGAAAGCATAACGGAGTGTGTGTGTGTGTGTGTGTGTGTGTGTGTGCTTTGAGTAATCTGTGTGGTGAGAGTCTGGAATGTGGATGATCTGTCCGAGGAATCCAGCATGTGGAATTGTTATCACAGATGTGGCTGTGTGAAGTAACCATCCGTCTGAGAGTATATAAATAAAAGCGGCATGTTCTTTTTCTCTTTCTTGTCAGCCAAATTCATTTGTCACTTTTGTGCCACGGTAATGTCTTCAGCTGTATCAACAGGGAGAGCTACTTTGAGCGCCTTCCATCATTTCCAACCCCCCTCTCTCTGCCCGCTGCCTCTGTTGATGTTGCTCATCATTAATTTGAGCTAGGCTAATGGCTCTCTGCTAGATAACCACCAATTTAGAGGCTTTGAAATCAATAGCTTGTAGCTAAAGCTTTGCTTGTAGAAGAACCAGCAGGGATAAGACTTTGTGCACGCAGCTGAGCAGATTTTTCCCCCAAAGCCTGACAGAGCAAAAGACCAGAAGAAGAAGGCATTGTGGTGAGTAGGGAATTCCACTGCTTTGCTTTCACTGAATCTTTCAACCAAAATTGTGTTTTTAGTTTAATATACAGAGACAACTGAAAGTCTGCTATTCAAAAGTTGATTCTCCAAAGAAGTCTTAAAGGGTTAGTTCACCCCAAAATGAAAATTCTGTCATTAATTACTCACCCTCATGTCGTTCCAAACCCGTAAGACCTTCGTTCATCTTCAGAACACAAATTAAGATATTTTTGATGAAATCGGAGAGCTCTCCGACCCTCCCACAGACAGCAACGCAACTGTAATATTCCCAGGTCCAGAAACGTAGTAAGGACATCAGTAAAACAGTCCATGTGGCATCAGTGGCTTAACTTCAATTTTGCGAAGCTACGAGAATACTTTTTGTGCGCAAAGAAAAAAAAATTACTTTGTTCAACAATTCTTCTCCCCCGAGTTACCGTCTTCCGCCATTTTAGAGAGCATCACAATGCATACGCACGCTTTCCCCTAAGTGTAAATAACGCTGATTACGCAGATTACATTCATGCGCGCGCGTTATCCCCCGAACATAAACAACGCTGATTACGTCGAATACGTTCTTGGATACTCTCCAAAATGGCGGAAGACGTAACTCGCTGGAGAATAATTGTTGAATAAATTATGTTAATTAATGACAGAATTTTCATTTTTGGGTGAACTAACCCTTTAAAGACAACATGGAATTAAAAAATGGACTGTATTTAATTTCTTAAATGAATAGTCCAAGTCCAATTTACTCACCCTCAGGCCATCCAAGATCAGTTTGTTCTCATCAGAACAGATTTGGAGAAATTTAGCATCACTTGCTCACCAATGGATCCTCTGCAGTTAATGGGTGCCGTCAGAATGAGAGTCCAAACAGCTGATAAAAACATCACAATAATCCACGAGTAATCCACATGACTCCAGTCCATCGATTATTGCATGTTTGTAAGAAATAAATCTATCACTAAGGCATCCACAGGTCTACAGTCAACTTTAAACTGTCACTTTTGTCCATAATCTAATAACACTAGCTTCCTCCAGTGATAAAGTCTATCCCCTGTTGTTTGCTCACATCAAAATCCACCATCATATTTGTTTAGAGCTGTTTTGATCTTTTTTGCTTGTTAGTGTTACTTGATCTGTGCATATTTTTCTCGTGATTCAGACAAAAGACTTTTTTCACTTAGGGAAAGCAATATTATGGATAGAGGACTCATATTGCTAGAAGCAACAGTTTAAAGTCAAAACATTTTAATGATTAAAATTTAAGATGAAAGATAAGCAAAATTAAAGACCTGTAAATATCTGGTTTAAGACTCATGTATCAAATTCTTAAAAATGGAAATTAATCTATTTTCTAAATGCATGTTGAGCTTATGTTATTGTGAATGTTTCATCCATGCATGTTATATTTAAAAATGTTTTTTTGAAATGTTTATTTTTAAATCAAATAACAACTGCCTACCAGTAAATTGTACCCTGTCCTTTTTTCCTGATAATTCATTACACTCGGATGTATGTCACAATACGAGAGAAAATATCAGTAGCTACTTCGTTAGATCGCAAATTTATTGACTGTAAAAATGTCATGTGGTGTAAACATCAAATAAAAAGTAAAAATGTGTTTTCCTTTCATCTTGAATACATGTGCGTATACACACCTTATTTTCAAGGTAAAAAGTATTATTATTTATAAATACCATGAATTATTAAGTCATAAATTCCATTTTTGGAGATTTGCACCACATGACATTTTACAACATGAACTAACCTTGCCTTGTCATAACAAGGTCACATAATCTGATATTTTAAAAGATATATTGACCTAGAGACCCCGCTGGGGTCCACTCTGTGATATACTTTCCCATTTTTTTTTTTTTTTTTTGCAAAATTACCTGAAAAAAAGAGCAGCATGTCATTAATCCAAATACTATCCAATAGCCATACAGCAATTCAGTTTGCCTTCATTCTGTAATGCCCGCTTTTCACCATTCACTTGTTTCCTGCCCTACATTTTTTTTAGCAGATTATCCTGTTTTACTCTTACACAGTTCATCAATTCTCATCCAAATCTCTGAGCTTATTTTTCATGGGCAGTTTATTATATGGAAACCGCACTGTAATCTATTGCAAAACAATAAAAATAAGCTCAAGTTATAATGGGCGGTGGAATGTGATTGCAATATTTGATATACCCCACTGGGTTTGCTTGTCTGTTAATCCACACACACACAGGCAACTGTAACTGCTTTAACTTTATCGCAGTGCTGAGTAATTGGCCATTGTAGAGATGGAGGGTGAGATAACACTGACACTTCAGGCTCTGGGGAACTTTGATAAAATAAACAACCCTTTTTCCTCTTCAGTGGCGGGTGACCCAGGAGAGAGAGAACGACAGAGGAAGGGAGGGATGGTAGTGTGGCTGTATGGAGGGGTGGAAAACTGGATGGGTAAAGAGAATGAAAAGACTGCGGAGACGAAGGAAAAACAGAGCTACAGAAAAACAGACCCTGACATCATGGAGCAACTTGGAAACTGAATGTAGGTCAAACCCAACCTGGTCTTAATGTTACACATAAGACACTTTTCCAGGCAAATAATCAGATCAGATGACTAAGGCATAAATATGTATTTAACAGAAATCTGATCAAAACACCAAACAGTGTGCTTTTAACACTATTCTAGGTTTAGCCCAAGGTGTGCCAAACCTGTAGAGTTTCTTTCTTCTCCTGAGCACAAATTTTTTTTTGAAGAATGTTGGTAATCAAGCAGTTTCTGGTCCCCATTGACTTTCATAGTATATTTTATTAGAAAGAAACACATACAGGTTTGGAACAATTTGAGGGTAAGTAAATGATGATTTAAATTTTTAACTGAACTATCCCTTTAATTTCTCTAGTTTGGCCTCTCCATCAAGACGAAAGAGCACTGAAACATCCAGCGTTTGAGGCAATGTGAAAAACGACTGACTCACGCTTATGAATGTCAATTCAGGGATTTTTTTTTTTTCGCTGGCTCTCTGAAGGTTACCCTGACACACATCCATTGTAAATGTCAACATGCAAATCCGCAGACTCACACACATGAGAATAACACCACAAGGCAACGATATGAGGTGGCTGTGTGTCAGAGATTCATCCTCTGAGATCACCGCCATATTGTTTTACTTTAGAAAAGCAGGAACACATGTAATGATGCTTACAGTATAAACCGCCAATTACACAAGGGCTTGAATAAAGGAGCTGCCCACACAAACAATGTGCCCCTAGCAGGTCAACATCATTTACACAGAGGTATGGAAATGAAACTCTGTTGACATATAAGACTCCTCGGGAAGATTGTGTGTGAAAAGTTGATTAATTCTGGAGCGTCACGAATGCATGGCTGTCGGTGCCTGATGGCCGTGGGTGGCTGAGCTGCAGAGAAAAGGATTCAGATCATTAGCGAAACCACAGGTCATTTACTGAGCCCACAGTGTGATCTCTATGACACTATTCTTCAATGTTAAAACACTGTATCCACAGCTTGTGTCTCCACGGGCTTCAAATAGCCCAGATGTGGAGGGCCTGGAGAGATGCAGCTCAGGGGGTACAACACATTAGTGTCTCCATGAGCCATTTGCCAAAGAGTGCATGTGTTTTCTGGAAATGCAGTGACATTTCATTTGGATGACAGAACCTTTGATATTTAGTTTGGCCATTTTAAACTATTTTAGATCATTATGTAGACAACGTTTGTGGTTTAAATAAGTTAAGTCACAAATTCATGGATCTGGTAATGCCAAACAGTTTTGGTTCCCATTGACTTCCATTGTAGTTTTTGTTCATAGAAAAACCAATTAAATAAAAAAAATCAATAGGAACTGAAACTGTTTGGTTACCAACATTGTTCCACAGAAGAAAGGAAGTTATATAAGTTTGTATCGACATAAGTGTGAGTCAGGGCTGTCCTTAGCTGACGCGGGGCCCAGATCTATCTATCTATCTATCTATCTATCTATCTATCTATCTATCTGTCTGTCTGTCTGTCTGTCTGTCTGTGTGTCTGTTAGATGAGATGATAAAAATGAGCATTGCTTGTTTAAACACAATTGCTGCTTGCTACTTGTAACCCCCACACATTTTGTTCTTTAAATAACATTTTAAAATGTATTTTTTTATTTATTATTATTTCCTCTACATGACTTCCCTAGGAAATCACTTATTTAGTAAATCTTTAGTATATTTGTATTAGTATATCTTCATATTCTGTTCATATATCTTCTGACGAGTGGTGTGATTTGTACTGATTTACATAGCAGTGGGACCTATTTTCAAAAGGAGCGCACTGGCCCTTTAAGAGCTGAGAAACTGCACTTGACGTCCAGCGGACTCTTGCTTTGCCAGCAGCAGTCAGTCAGTCAGTCAGACACACACGGACTCAAGTCATCTCTGAACCGCAGAGATTCTCCTTCAGTCGCTTCTTGTATTTATAGCCGCCGCTGCGAAAAACGACTAAACAGAATGGCCACGAACTGCTCTTCTCGAATCACAGCCGTTCGGAGATAAGAGGGCGGAAACGCGAGTAAAACAGACGGGGGAGAAAGAAAAACAGACGAGGCCGAACCCATCGAGGGAGCGCGAGAGCAGTCTAGTTTCTCACGCGCGGCGCTCAAGTGGATTTGCGGCTCAAACCGACGAGGACGAAAACACGCCCGTAGCAAACCGTACATGTGGATTATTCGCGGACATTTCTTAATTTCCTTCTGCTCAGAAACTACATAAACGTCCGGTAGCGATAGACCTTCACCTTCCGCGGAGAGGTAAGTTACTACAAGACGTTTTGACCACGAGTCTGTCAGCCGTTTATCGGTTTTAGGGGTGCCGAGACTTCTCAGAGACGTTGTCGGAGTCACGGGGTTTGTCTGTGGCTAACGGCCATTATTCCTTCACTGAACCTCTGCTACATTGAATGAGCGTCTCCGAGCAAGGCGGAAATCAACCACTCCGTGAAGACTGGCCGGCTAGTTAGCATAGCTAGCGGTGTTTGTGATTTAAGGTTAGACGGAATGCCGTTAAATTATGCCCGGCATGTTACGTTATGTATTCGGTTAGCTTTCTAGCGTTATAAACAATGTTTTACAAAGCGCACTGCCTTCCGTTGAGCAATTTTTGGGGGGTCGGCTATTGAGCTAGCTGAGTTAGCTTGGTTTATGTGTTGTTATATTGTACCGAATGCTTGGCTAGTTCTGTAGTAACGCTGCCGGGCGCAAGCAACGGATGAGACGTATAGTTTCAGTCTGTTTTGGATGTGGTTCTTGGGTGTTAATCAGATTAGATCCGTGCTATTTAGAATTTCCTAGTCAACATCTCATTATTAAACGTGTCCAGATGAGGGAATCTTTACTCGTGCTGCAACATGGTCTTGGTTTAGAAAGAATAGAGCTGCATAATGATGCCACTCAAGGAGCTTTGATCAAAATCGTTTTGTCAGTTGGCTGTTTTTGTTGTACTAGTGACACTTTTAGGAAAATAAATAAATATAAAAATAACAATATATAAACACACACACGTGCATGTATATATTTAAGAAAAATGTTGTTTATATATTAAATATATTTATATAATATAAATATATACATTTAATATTATAAATTTATACATGTGAATACTTTCAATATATATACTGTATGTGTGTGTATTTGGGTCAAAGACGAAAAAGGGTTTAAGCATAAAAACAATAAGTGCAATACTGCTTTAAACCGTTGTTTTCCCCCAAAATTAATTAATGAATTAAAATGAATTAAAAGACTAATTACTTAAACCCCAAATACTAATTAGTTGTAATTTTACATTTTTAACATTTGCCACTATCCTAGGTTTGTTTAAATATTTTTCTCAGAAATTGGGACCACTCACTCACTGTCCCTCCCCCCCAGCCTCTCAAACGAGTATGCCCCCAGTATATAGATAACATTTAAGGGATAAAGACCAATAGTGCATGGGAATAGCTTTCACAGACTTCAACAGTGGTTTGTGAGCCCATATTTAGAGCTAGAGCTCATGTAGTGATGTACTGAAACTAGGGGTGTGCGATATTGACAAAAAATTATATCTCGATATTTTCATAAAACTTTGAATACTGATATCTGAAATGATTTAAAAAATGAAAAAAAAAAAAATTGAGCAAAAACAAGCAATATGGTGTCTAAAACGTAAGTCTCTTAATTAACTTATTGTTTATTGAAAAACGCAATTGTTCATGAAACACTCCACAAATCCCCACACTGCCTCACTGTTCCATTGTTTTTATGTGAATCGGAGACTGGTTTCCTTCATTGTACTGTAAATATCACTAGGAAAGCGTTTTTTTCACTTTTTCACATGTCGGGATTATTCACATGTCGTTTATAGTTGCGCCGCCTCTATTGCCGCGACTCCTGAAAAACTTTTTCCCTTCATTCATAGCTTGCTGATGATGAGGCTGGAACTACACTCCATCTCGGATGTTGTTATTAAGGGTCAATAAATCATAGTGGATACCAAATGCTTGTCAACAGCTGTTGATTTGCACATGAAAGGCAGTGGAATGTGAAAAATGGAGGCCACACAGCTAAAGTGTATTAGTGTAATTGGACATGGGCCAGCAGAGGGGCTTTTTCTCTTGAGCAGCATTCTTTCCCACTGTACATTAGAAGAGAACAAAGCACACTGTCATAAGTGGACCAGCGAGATGCCCGAACCCAAAACAGAACTGGCCTCAGACAACCTCTTTGCTCTGCAGGGCTGCCAGGACTCATGGCCAGAAAACAACAGATTTGTTTTGGACTCACATCAACTCCAGTTCCACCCCTCTGTGTTGTGTATTGAGTAATGATATTCTTTCTCGCTCTCCTCACTGCTCCATACAGATTGTTGATAAGCACTGAAAAGAAATGAGTTTGCCTTTTAAGCATTGTCTGCTGAAATGTGGAGCTAGTTTACCACTTTATCTCTGTCTGTTTTCAAAATGCTTTGCACAGAGTCTAATACACAGTGCACAGCAGTTTTGCAGCTGCAAGCTTTATTATAGCCGGCCTTTTCGATAATTCATGTCAGATGCCTTGTTTCTGCTTATATGAACTGCGGAACATGCCTCGAGTACTATTCAGGGACAAGATAAGGAGTTGATACACAGTAAAAAATGCAGTGTCAATTTAACACTTAAAGTGTCGATTTTAACACTACTAAAGATCATATATGGTCCCAATTAGGGCTGTGTATCACCAGCAAAGTCACGATACGATACGTATCGTGATACAGAGGCCACGATACGATACGTATCATGATACATGACTGCACTGAATTTCACCTCAGCAGAATTGAGAAAAACAGCTGTTTATTAAACACTGCTTACTATAGTGCCATTTCTAGCTATTGGCAGAGCAGGGAGTTGACCTCTGCATTATGAAGGGCCTCCATAACTGTACCACAGTACAATATAGGTAATGGCATATGTTTCATGTTTACATTGTGCACTCCCCACCAGGTACAGTATTCTGATTGTTTGCATCTTGTTTTTAAGCCCATAAATAATGTACTCGTTCTAATAAATTTATATTTTAATGTACTCATTCTAATATATTTAAAAAATCATTTACATTGCTGGTAGGTTATCATTGCACAAATTAACACACTCTCTATGATAAAAAAAAATTAATAGAAGAGTTCTAAACTAACGCGCTGTCTTCACTGTATCT